CAACTCAAAGTGGATCAAGGACCTAGGAATTAAACCAGAGACCTTGCGCCTAATGGAAGAAAAATCAGGTCCAAATTTCCATCATATCGGATTAGGCCCCAACTTTCTTAATAAGGCTCCTGTAGTGCAAGAATTAAAACCAAGAATCAATAAATGGGATGGACTCAAACAAAAAAAGTTTTTTCTCAGCAAAAGAAACAATCAGTGAGGTGAATAGAGAGCATACAGAATGGGAGCAAATGTTTATTATGAGCACATCAGATAGAGCACTAATCTCTAGGATATATAAAGCACTCAAAAACCTTAACATCAAAAACCCAAATAACCCAATCAATAAATGAACTGAACAGACACTTCTCAGAAGAGGAGACACAATTAATCAACAAACATGAAAAAATGTTCAACATCTCTAGCAATTAGAGAAATAAAAATCAAAACTACTCTAAGATTTTATCTCACACTAGTCAGAATGGCAGTTTTCAAGAATACAAACAACAATAAGTGTTGGCGAGGATGTGGAGGAAAAGGCATACTCATACATTGCTGGTGGGACTGCAAATTGGTGCAGCCAATCTGGAAAGCAGTATAGAGATTTCTCAGAAAACTTGGAACAGAACCACCATTTAACCCAGCTATCCCACTCCTCGGTTTATATCCAAAGGACTTAAAATCAGCACACTGTAGTTATACAGTCACATCACTGTTTATAGAAGCACAATTCACAATAGCTAAATTGTGGAACCAACCCAGATGCCCTTTAGTATATGAAAGGATAGGGAAACTTTGGTACAAATACACAATGGAATATTACTCAGCATTAAAAGATAATAAAATCATGTCATTTTCAGGTAAATGGATGGAGTTGGAGAATATAATGCTAAGTAAGGTAAGCCAGTCCCCTAAAACCAAAGGCCAGATGTTTTCTGTGATATGAGGATGCTGACTCATAATGGGGATGGGGGTGGGGAGCATGGGAGTAACAGACAAACTTTAGATAGGGCAAAGAGGAGGGAGGGGTAGGGAGGGGGGATGGGAGAAGCAAAGATGGTGCAATGAGTTAGACATCATTACCCTAGGTACACGTATAAAGACACAAATGGTGTGAAAATACTTAGTGTACAAATAGTGGCTTGAAATGTTGTGCTCTATATGTGTAATGTGAAATGAATTGCATTCTGCAGTCATATATAACAAATTAGATAAATATATAATTTAATTTTAAATAAAAGATATTAGGATTCCCCCAACACCCGCCTCTCTCTATCTTTGCTTCCTGGCAACTCTGTAGGTGATCCTGTCATGATGTACCATGCTGCCCTAGGCCCTTAGGCCCAGAGCAACAGGGCCAAGCAACCGTGGACTGAAAGCGCTGAAACTGAGGCAAAGGAAACATCTCCTCCCTTGAAGAGGCTTTAACTCAAGTATTTTGTCACAGTAATGGAAAGCTGGCTGACACACTTCTTATTGCTATTGCCATTTCCCTTTGCTTGCTAAATCTTTGGGTATTAATAGATATGATTTCTTTTTAAGGTCATCTTTGAAAGAATATTGGGGCTATTTGTTGTAATTGTTTTGGTTTATGGCATATGTTGTATGTTTTCTCATTTGTGACTTTAGTCATATGAGATTTCACTTTTCTCCAAGTAAATCCAGCTATGAATTTGTAAAAAAAAAATAAAAATAAATAAATAACTTCACACTCACTAGCCAATGGAGGAAATTCCAATTTTGGGAAAGGAGAGCAAGAGCGAGAGAGAGCAAAGAAGGAAGGGAGGGAAAAAATGCTTAGAGTAGGGGTTGATGAACCTTTTTGGTCAAGGACCAGAAGTAAATACTTCGGGATTTATAAGCCTTACATTCTCTGTTGCAACTACTCAAATCTTCCATTATTTTAAAAATTTGTTCTAATTAGTTATACATCATAGTAGAACGTATTTTGCATACTATACATATATAGAGAGTATAATTTCTCACTCTTCTGGTTATATACAACATAGAATTACATTGGTTGTATAATCATATATGTACATAGGATAGTAATGCCTGATTCATTCTATTATTTGTCCTATTCCCATTTCCCCTTCCTTCCCTTCATTCCTCTTTTTCTAACCCAAAGTACTTCTACTCTTCCCTAACCCTTGCCCCCTCATTGCGAAGTAAGCATACACATATTAGAGAAAACATTCAGTCTTTGGCTTTTGAGGATTGGCTTATTTCACTTAGTATGATAGTCTCCATTTCCATCCATTTACCAGCAAATGCCATAATTTCATTCTCTTTTAGACTGAGTAATATTCCATTATGTGTATCTATCACATTTTCTTTATCCATTCATCTGTTGAAGGGCACCTATGTCGGTTCCATAGTTAACTATTGTGAATTGAGCTGCTATAAACATTGATGAGGCTGTTTCACTGTAGTATGCTGATTTTAAGTCCTTTGGGTATAAACCAAGGAGTGAGATAACTGGGTCAAATGGTGGTTCTGTTCCAAGTTTTCTGAGAAATCTCTATACAGCTTTCCAGATTGGTCACATCAATTTGCAATCCCACCAGCAATGTATGAGTGAAATTTCCCCCCACATCCTTGCCAACATTTATTGTTGCTTTATTCTTTTTCTTTTTTGTCCAGGAATTCTAATCACTTTCTGCCTTTTACTTTTTTATATCTTTTTAAAATTTTTATTTATTTATTTTAATTAGGTATATACTACAGCAGAATGCATTTTGATTCATTGTACACAATTGCAGCACAACTTTTCTTTTCTCTGATTGTACACAATGTATCGTCGTACCATATGTGCAGTCATACATGTACCTAGGGTAATAATGTTCATCACATTCCACCATCATTCCTGCCCCGATTCCCACTCCCTTTCCCTCCCTCCCCCTTGCTCAAAGTTCCTCCATTTTTTCCATGCACTGCCCTAGGCCCCGCCATTATGGATCAGCATCCACTTAGCAGAGAGAACATTATTTGACCTTTGATTTTTGGGGTTGCTCGTATTCTTGATAATTGCCATTCTGATTAGAGTTAGATAAAATCTCAGTGTAGTTTTAATTTGCATTCCTCTAATTGCTAGAGATGTTGAATATTTTTTCGTATATTTGTTGACTGATTGTATTTCTTCTTTTGTGAAGTGTCTGCTCAGTTCTTTTGCCCATTTATTGATTGGGTTATTTATTTATTTTTTGGTGTTAAGTTTTTTGAGTTTTTTTGTATATCCTGGATATCCTGAGGAGCAGGTGGCAAAGATTTTCTCCCATTCTCTGGGCTCTCTCTTCACACTCTTTTTTTCCTTTGCTTTTTTTTTGAAGAAGCTTTTTCATTTGACGCCATCCTATTTCTTGCTTCTTGATTTTACATCTTATGCTTTTGTAGTCCTAAGTCAACATGATGTAGATTTGGGTCTACTTTTTCTTCTGTTAGGCACAGGGCTTTTGGTCTAATGCCTAGGTCCTTGAACCACTTTGTCTGCTCTTCCATTACTGAGCTAACACAACCAAAGACAAGTAAGTAAACAGAAGTGTATCTGTGCTCCAGTGGTTCTTCATGCAACAACACTAAACTTGAATTTCTTATCTTTTTTACATAGATGCAATATTCTTCTTTTGATGTTTTTTTTTTTTTTACTAAAGTGTAAAAAAAAACCCCAACAAACCATATTTAAGTCATAGAACATACAGATCAAGTGGCCAGGCCTTGCCATGCCTGGACCAGAGTGAGAGGAGAGTCTCAGAGTCCACAGAAAGAAATGGAAGACAGATCATTGCCACAGAATAGCTGAGCACCTATCCCGACTCTCTGTCTCCCCATTCTTGGCCTTTCTAGACAGTTTTTTATGGACTCTGCCTGGTCACATACATTTGCCTGCAGCCTTGTGTTTGCTCTCACTTTTACCTGGGTACAGACTATTCTTGTATGGTTCTTTGTGGTGGCATTGTTTTTGTTTGTTTATTGTTGGTGCATTATCACAATAGTGAGATTCATTATTCCATATTCATACCTACACATAATATAATTTGATCAGTCTCATTCACCAGTACCTTCCCTTTCCCTCCCCTCCACTCTCCCCTGATGTCCTTGCTCTACTGTACTGATCTTTCTTCTATTATTATATTAACTAGTACACACACACACACACACACACACACACACACACAGAATTCACTTGCAATATTTGTACATACACATATATAACATAATTCCCTAGTTCTTCCCCCATGCCCTCCCCTCATTCCTCTCTCTTGATCCCTTTCCTCTCTATTCTATTGGTCTGTTTTCATGAGATCCCTCCCTTTTATAATCCCTTTCCCCCACCTCCAGCTTCTATATATGAGAGAAGACAATCCACTCTTGACTACCTGAGTCTGGCTTATTTCACTTAGTATCATGTTTTCCAATTCTATTCATTTACCCACAAATGACATAATTTCATGTGGTGGAATTATTTTAAAAATGTCTACTAATATTTCTTTATTTCTGTTCTGATTATCTATTGGGTTTTAACACGTCTATTGCCCCAATTGTTGGGTTTGCCATCCCCATCAAAGTACACTTGAAAAATCAAGGAAAATATAATGGCATTCATCATTGTTTGCCCAAAGCATTGGCAGAAAGTGGCTAACTGAAGCCCAAGATGATGGAGGTAAAATCTACATGGCTACTGACTACATAAAATGTCTTAAAAGCAGAGCCACAGGCTCTCTCTCCATGCTGAAGATGTGCTTCACCTGAAAGCTGTTTCCTTCAGGATCCAGGACCTCACAGATAATCGCTGATGTGTGCTTCATGATGTACCTGCTGGATCTCAGGTGCTCACGCTTTTGGAAATGGTAGATAGTACTGGAATCATGGCAGTACGTAGCTGAACAATCCCTATCAATGTAAAGGCAGCCTGTGTTTGCAGGTAGCACCTGGAAGGGGAAAGACAAGGCAGAGAGTATCCTCAATTTCTTATTTGCATTTGAGGTCTTAGAAAATCATGTTAGGAAAAAAAAAAAGATGAGTAGGTCCTAATCACAAACTGTTCTTTCCAGGAAGAAAACATAAACCAAGAGAGACTTGACCCTTGGGAAGGACCACTTGATAAGACAAGCTGTATTATTAAGATACAGTTCTTCTGTGTTCTCATGTTTCCTATCCACTTTAATATTTCTTCTAAGAAATTGCTCTGTGCCCTTTATTTTCTACATTTAATGCATTTTAGCTGGGGTAAACAAAACATGTAAAACCTATCAGGTTTTTAGATAAAAAGCATCTCTAAAAGGGCCCAAAGCAATGGGATAAATATTAGAAGCTTTTATTGGTTCTCAGACCTCTTGTGACCAATGGAGTCCTTAAGTAATAGAGTTTATGTAATGACTTCTAGTTCAGAGAGATTCTTTTCTGAAACATAATTCATGAATTATAAATTCACCATTTAGGACTATTAGGGAATGGGAAAGGGATGGAGAGAGGTGGGAGGGAGAGGAGAATGGAGGATGGACTTGACCAATGTATGATATGTATATGTGTGGGAACATCCTAGTGAAACCCGGTGATTTGTAAATTAATGTGTTAATAATAAAAAATTTCAAATAAACAATTATCCATTTTAAAAGTGTATACTTCAGTCATTTTTTAGCATGTTCCAAAATTGTGTGGTTATTACTAATTCCAGAACATTTCTATCAGTCCCAAAGGTCCCCGATCCCATTAGCAGTCATGTGCATCATTCCTGGCTCTAAGCTCTGGCAACCACTAATCCCCTATCTCTGAATTTACCTGTTCTAGACTTTTCATATAAATAGAAGCATGCCCCATGTGGCCTTTCCAGTCTAGCTTCTTTCACTTAGCATCATTCCATTTTATGGGTGAATGATATTTCATTCTATGACTATCTCACATTTAATGTACCATTCATGAGTTGTTGAACAGTTTTTTTTAAAAAAAATAATCTCAAAGCTCTGCTTTAATCATCCATGTGTAAGTTTTTGTGTGGGTGTGTGTTTTAATTTTTCTTGGATATATATAGATAGATAGATAGATAGATAGATAGATAGATAGATAGATACATCTGCTGAGTCATATGACAACTATGTTTTATTTTTGAGGAATTGTCAAGCAGTTTCCCAAAATAATGCAGTATTATTATCCCCACCAGCAATGTGTGCAGGATTCCAGTTTTCCCACATCCTAGCTCACAC